AATAATTTTTTCTTCAATAATATGTGTCTTTGCAAGGCTTTAATAATTTAACATACATTACACTCTGTGGCTATTTGAACTTGGTCCCTCCATCTTATTTTTTATTTCTATTTATCATGCTTTCTTGATTTTTAATTTCTTTTTCCTAAATTCCTAGATAGGTTTAGTTTTATTTGTCTATATTTTTTTCCTTCTATTGGCTTGGGAGATTTTCATGTCATTGCTTTTGGGCTGAATGCCTGTTAATCTGATCCATTTTTACTTCCATCACTACTCACATGGCCTGCAGGTTGCATGCCATGTTCAGGGGAGGGGCCCCTGTGGGACTTGACTGGCCACTGCCTGCCCAGCCCACTCCCAGTCCCAGAGCCTGATAACTCAGAGTCCAGTTTCTCCATCAATTCAAATCTTTGTGGTTTTCCTCAAAGGAAAACAATTCTGCTAATTGACTCTTTGTGATTCTCCATCAATGAAATAAATTTATTCTCATTTTTATGTTTCATCTGTCATTGCAAAGGGAATTTTGAGAGAGTGGTAGACAGAGGTATTATAGTCAACTTAAAAGTCCAAATTATTCCTGTTTCAATCTGTTGGTTTTCTGGTTCACTTTGTTTGTTTGGTTTCCTGTCGGCCTGTCCTCTTCCTCTTCTCCCCTCTTAGGGGAGGAACGCCAGGTCTCAGCCAGGATTATGAGGACACTTTGGAGGGGCGGGAGAAGGATGGATAACCTGTGCTGTTTCTTTCCCCTTAATGTGTGAGCGATGGGAATGCAGAGAATGCCAGAGACCAGCCTAGTTTAACCCAATGTAGAACACAAATAAGCCAATTAAAGAAGGATCCAGGTTAAGAGAGTGGGTAAAACATATCCATTCAATCACACACATCCTTGTTTAATACAAAAACAAAAATATTTAAGATACAAAAAAAATATTTTAAAAATAAAGTCACAATGACAGGGAAGGCAGGTTAGGAGGTAACAGCAGCAAAACATTAGGTCAAGTGGTAACCAACTTAAGTGATCCAGGAAGCTAAACAGCAAAGCTAGTGGGAATAGAAAGCAGAAAGATCAGAATCCTTCTTAGATGGGATCGAGATGTACACATCAAAGGCATGAGGCAAGGATCAGCAGTTGGCAGGAAAGGCCCAGAGCCCAGGCCCTTACCCAAGATGAGTAAGGAGGGTGGGAGGAGGGGGGCGGGGGAGCAAGGTGCTCAGTGTTGAGCCCTGAGCCAGCAGGGAGCAGAGTAGAGTGTCCATGTGGACCTGAGGATTGTGACAATAGAAAGAGCAAAAGTGTGAAGAACCAAGCCTGAATTCATGCTTTTCATAAATGCACTCAGAGCTAGCCCAGTCACTGCAGTCATCATGATGGTAGGGTGACAGAGGACACAGGGCTGGATGCCAAATAGACAGGGTGGGCAGGGATCTCTAGGGTAAGCTCAAGTGGCTTATCACTGTGTAAAACCAGCCAGAAACCACAACCCTCAATATGTAAATCTCTGGGGCTGAGTCTCTCCAGGGTAATAAGCAGCACACAGTCCTGCCTTCTCCCTTTCACTCCTGGAAGTCAAAAATGCCTGCAGTCTTCAGACCCTCTTGGAAACAACCCTTCCCTGAGTGAGACTGGCACCTTGGATCAAGCGTAAGGCACATGCATTTGCACAAGGTTGGGCAAAGGACTTTGCTCCTCTCAGGATGTCTTTCCTCAGAGACAACACAGCTCCAATGCAGGAAGAAAGCAGTGATTTCTCAAGGAACCTCCTCTCTCCCTCTTGGCTGATGGGCTCGGGGACTGAGGACAGATGTCAGTTTATGGCACTCCAGCCAGAAGGCCAGCAATTGATCAGGTTCCAAACACCACTGGATGTGTGTTTAAGAATTTCCTCCTCACCTTGTGGAATATCACTTCATCTCAAGCACAGATACCAGAACATCATGAGCCTACGGAGTCAAGCTAAAGTACAATTGCCTACCTAGGTTGCTACCATGATTGATAAGCTGGAAAGATGCTGAACCACAGACTTCAAAATGGACTATCAGATACACATATTCCAGAGCCAGGTAAGACAGGGTTGATGTACTGAGGAAAGGCAGTGTTTCTTGGATTTAATGTACAAGAGTGATGGGAATAGAAAACTGGGGGGGCTATCCAACAGACTCATCAGTGAAGCTGCTTGTCATTTGGCCCCAGAAAAGTTAGATTCTTAGAATAAATTCTAAACTGCTTATCGGGTGAAGTAAGGGGAGAGAATATATATGAGAGAGCATCTTATTTATATACATTTGAGCACATGCATCTACTCATTTCTAACCTCAAGATTCTCTAAGGCAGTGGTCGGCAAACTCATTAGTCAACAGAGCCAAATATCAACAGTACAATGATTGAAATTTCTTTTGAGAGCCAAATTTTTTAAACTTAAACTATATAGGTAGGTACATTGTTATTAACTTAGGGTACTCCTAAGGCTTAGGAAGAGCCACACTCAAGAGGCCAAAGAGCCACATGTGGCTCGCGAGCTGCAGTTTGCTGACCACGGGTCTAAGGAGTTTCTTGTTCCTTCCCCTGCCCTAGCATTTTCTGCCTGCCATGCAGACTGCTTCTACTGGGGGATTTTATTCTCAGGGTCAGTTAAGTAAATGAGCTCCAATTTCAAATCCCAGCTCTGTCACTCACTGGAATGAGCAGATTACTTATACTCTCTGCATTCAAGTTTCTTCATCTACAAAATAGGGGATAATATTAACTTCTATTACCTAGATTTATGGGGATAATTAAATGTGCCGATCCATGTGTAATGTAAGTGCTAGATAAATGCCAGCTATTGTGACTGGTATTATGTGTATCTCTGAAGAAGAGAGCACACTCTCTATCCTCTCTAGGATCCATGGTGACTATGTCCCAGTCAACTCTGTTGCACAGTTAATTTCCACTTGCCACTTCCTCTCTTCTCTCTACCTCCAACTTGATTCATTTCTTTCCTCATCTCCTGATTTTGCTTTTGAAGGCAATCAGCAAAGTGCCCAGTGAAAATCAAGGTAACCTATCCCCAATCTTCAGAAGTACAGTTATAATTTTTCTTGTAAAACTTACTCTTGCAGTGGTCAGTATCATTCTTTGGTCTTTTATAATTCATCAGCTCTAATCTATTATTGATTTTCAGTTATTTTTTGTATGTTATTGTTGTTTTCATTAAGTCTTCAAATATTTGTTCAAGTGAAGATTCTGGACTGGGCCTTCCAAACACAAGACAAATAAAACATCAAACAGCTTACAATCCAGTAGGATAGGAAGCATCTGATAGCAAGTAAGAGCAATTAGGTCTTCCAGGCCCAATGACCTGCATCTGCACTTTGCAAATTTAGGTCACCTGCCATGAGTAAGAGAAAAGGTATCTCTTGAGTTGAGTCTTAGAAAAAAAATTAGTTGTTCATAAGCTAACCCAGGTGTACAAAGGTGTTTCCAAGCAGAGGGAGTGTTTTGTAAAAGCTGGAGGCCATAGAAGAACTGTAAGGAGTTGAGGATGGTGGAAGCAATGTATGCTGATGTGGGGATGGTAGGTTAAGAGAGAAAAAAGATAGCAACAAGTAAAGATAGACTCAAAATGATGTCTTCAGCATCTTTGATGGGGTTACCATGGAAACACTAAGTTGTTCCATGGTTCCCTGGCAGCTTCAAAGACAGCATGCAAATGGTTTAGCTCAATGTGATGTGGTGGGTACCCCTCTGAGCTTTCTACTTGTCCTATGACAATAGGTGATCAAGCAAGTAAAGTCTACTTTTGTACTCTATTGATCTTTGTGTTATTGTTGGTTTTTTTTTTTTCCACATCATATATAGCTTCATTCCAACATACGTTTCAAAGTAAGATGTAGGCCTTGGTTTAATGTACATTAGTCTACCTTTTTGAAACAACATTGTGGCCAATGAGAGGTTGAAATATGAAGACATTCTTTAATTATTATTAGTTGAGAGAAGCTAAAGAATTCCATAATTGCATTGAATAAGGTCTATCATTTGCAAAAGTTCCCAACCCCAGGAGAAGGAATAAAGAATTGTGTTTTTAAAATTTGTTTGTTTTCTTTGTAATTTCATTCAATCTAATTCCCCCCTGCTCCCTCCCCCCCCCCCAAAAAAAATGAATGGATAAAACAGTAGTCCAGATGTGGTACACTGCAAAATAAAGGAACCATCAGGCCAGACACTTAAACATATGGTCTCCTAGGATTTTAGATGTCATCTAGGAAAACAAACATTCCTGGTCAGAGCTTCACCTGCTTGAAAGGGAGTCACTTGTCAGCAGCTGACCCAGGACCCTGTGAGCCTTGGGTTAGGATGGTATTTGAACAGGGCACAATGGAGAGCTGTGACTGTGCTGGACGTCTGCCCAAGGACAGAACTGGAAATCGAACTTGAGCAAAATCCAGATTTCCTTCTCAGTTGTCTGTGTCTGTGGTCCTTGCATCTGTGAAGCTGAGTCTGAAGCCAGACTCTGACATCCTGCAAAGACCAAGATCAAGTCTGTAAACAAACCTGAGAATTGCACGTTTTATCCGAAAAACAAGAAGGGTGAGAATTTGTCCTCGTGACAGTTTCAGAAACTCACTATGGAGCAAACCATAGATTCCGAACAGAGATGTATGTACTCAGTCATCAGGAGTCTGCACAGGAGTCTGTGTAGGAGGGAAGCTAAGGGGATTCTTTGTTTTAGACTTTCAGCCAGGGTACCAGGCTGGAGATCAAACTAAGTATTTTTTTTTCAACTAATTTTTCTGTCTCTGCCTAATTAACTTGCTTTTTTGTTTCTTGTGTGTGCTTTCATTCATTAGATATCAAGGATAAATCATTTTGTTCCCAGATTAGGTACATAGGAGAGAAAATTGTTCCAGGAGAGACTAGATGATGACAACATTTTAAGATTTCCAAGTCAAAATAACTTAGTTGGGGAAAGAGGCTTTCTGCCTTTATGGGGCAGGTTTTTGTAAAGGTGGGAGTGAGGCAGAATCACTGTGGTACACTTTCGGCCAAGGGACCACGCTGGAAATCAAACGTAAGTACGTTTTTGCTTATTTGTGAGGTTATTATATGGTGCAAGTTGTATTATTTGTGCAAGTTTGTGACATTTTAATTAAACGAGCCATTCCTGGTGAAGAACAAGTAAACAGCAGAAAGTAGCCACCTTTTCAAGCTGAGCAAACAGACATGTTTTTGGGTTTGTGAGGAGAATGGGAAAAACATAGCCGGATATTTCTCTGAACCAGCCTTTCAGAAGGAGGTTTGGATGAGGGAATGTGAGAGCCCTCTCTGGCTCACTTTCAGCCCGGAGATCACGCTGGAGGTAAAACAGATGTGTGCCTCGCTGGTTGGTCCTTCTTCTTACAGTATTGTATAATTTGGAGATTTTTATGTTTGAGCTATGAGTTGAGATCAATTCTAAAACAAATGGGATTCTTCTGAAAATCAGTTCATCTCATGGAAAAGCAAAGCGCTAGTTCATGGATGTGGCATCTAAGTTGCCAGATTCTCTCTCTGTCAGTGTAATGAGGTTAACAGCAAAAGGAGGGGAAAGTAAGCTAATACTGCTAAAGTTTAAAACTATTTTGCCAAAGGACATGTCTGGACATAAAACGTAGGTAATTTTTGTTCACTGTCTTCTGAAATTTGGGTCTAAATGCCAGTATTGACTTTCAGAAGCTTGAGTATGAGTTTTGTGGATCTGGGTAAATAAGGGTATTTCAAGTTAAACTCAGCTCCAAAAACGGATTTGCAGATAAAAAGATTAATTTAATCAGATTACTCAAATGGGGGAAAAAATAATGTAGATGAAAAGAAAAGCCTTGTAGTTTTAAAGAGCAAAAGTGAATTAATATTTATTGAACTTTGCCAAATATTCTATCAATTTTTGGTTTTTATGTATGACACAAAGAAGTAAAGAAATGTATTTCTTAGTTATTTTTCTATTCTCTCCGGCAAATATTTGATAAGATAACAATAAAGTCAACAAGGCATGCTGGTGATTCATAGGAAATTAGAGAAGTACGTATCTGCCATGTACAAGATGAAGCTGAGAGTCAGTAGCAATGTCATCTTTAGCCTGAAATGAGGAATAAACTCAATATTCAGAAAGTCTACAAGATTCTATATCTTCACAACTATCTCCTTTTTTAAAATCTAATTTCTATATTAAACTTGAAATGATCTCTTATCATAAATGTGAAATGATGGTTATCCCCAAAAGCTAATTATTTCAGTATCTGATTATCAAATAATACTTTTGATGTATTATTTGGAGTCAAAAAGTTCAATTCCAAGAAAAGAAATATATATAACTTACAGGGTAAAATTCCCAACAGCAAAAATGTAACTTAAAAATATTTTAACTTAAGGCTATCTGGACTCTCAGGTTTTGCTCAATTAACTTTTATTGAGTTCACATTAAGTAACATTAAGATATAGTAACTGATTAAAAATAAGATAAATTTGTGACATTTTATTTTTCAAAAAATTAATAGCTTGGGTAATATTATATTTCAGTTGTATAAAATACTTAATATATAAATGTCATTAATAAAAATAACATAAATATATTTTTCAATACCTTCATTCTGTGACAGAAAATTTTTACTCTGAGTATTTTAATTTCATACCCTCTAAAGTAGTCCTATAGTTTCTTGAGTTGTTTATTTCAGCTGATTGCAATAGTGATATTTAAGAACCTATTCTTGCCTAGCTGGTGTGGCTTAATGGTTGAGCATCAGGAGGTCACAGTTCAATTCCCAGTCAGGGCACATGCCTGGGTAGTGGGCTCGATCCCCAGTAGGGTGGAGAGGGGCTGTAACAGGACTATTTCAGGGCTATTTTAAAACTCAAAATTATTTAAAACTATTTAAGAATTGTAAATTATTTTATGGCCTTTGAAAAACTCTTTTAATAAGTTTTAAATGCCATTTAAAACTAATAAGATATCTTGCAATAAGATATTTTCCATATCAAATATGTTAATTATTTAATATGTTAATGCAAGATGAAAAGTTAAAGCTACCAAGGATTCACCCAGATAGGAGTATCTTCATAGAATATTCCCTTCCTTTCTTTCTAGAATTCAGATTATTTTGCTGCCAAGATTATTTTATAAATTCTCTTAAATATTAGCAATGAAGTTTAAGAGAGAAGAAAATATCAAAACATAAGAAGTTCAGTATCTAGCACTGAACTGCTTGGTTAACATGAAGGTTAGCTTTATAAACACCTGTTCATTTCTCAGAGTTCTCCCAGCAAAGCATTCTGCTACGTGAACTCTTGCTCCCTACCCGGGGGCTTGAATGCCCACAGAGGGGGCGGTCCAGGAAGCCCCTGGCAGCTGCTCACAGCCCTCCTAGGGCCTAGGCAGGTGGCCAAAGTGACCGTTGACCTTTCTAGCCGGGCTCAACACTGAACACCCATGTGGTGACAGCCGCAGGCCAGGGCCCGGGTCTCCTCCGAGGCTCTTGTGAGGACGGGAAGCTGCTGGCTGAGCACAGAGGGCCAAGGGCTGACCCCACGCTGCACAGACGGAGCTGAGGCCCTCTGCAGGGTGGTGGGCAGGCGCAGCCTGATGTCCCCGCGCGGTGCTGGGAGGGGCCTGAGCAAATGACCTCCGTGTAAAGGTCCAAAACCGTCCTCGGGTCTGACTTCTGCGGAGCCAAGTGACGCGGCGTTTGTTTCTTGGCCTGAAGCTCCAGTCAGTTATGCAGGCGGCTGGGAGCACAGTTGAAGGAGAGAAAGGCGAGGTCAGAAAAGCATAAAAAAGTTTCAAAATGGCTACAAAGGGTTCAAACAACCATATCTTAAGGGGCTGGGGAAGCTAGGACATGGGAGGTATGCTTCCCGGCCTCATCACTGCAGCGGGTCCGCCCGCTTGCCCGTCGGACTCGGGGTCACCCACAACAAGGCAGCCAAGTGGGGAGCGTCCTTGTTCCTTCAACACCATGCTCTGTGCTTCCTTCCTCAGGGGCTGTGGCTAAGCCCTCCGTCTTCATCTTCCCACCGTCCTCGGAGCAGCTCAAGACCGGTAGTGCCTCTGTGGTGTGCTTGCTGGGCGGCTTCTACCCCCAGGTCGTCAGTGTCAGGTGGACGGTGGACGGTGTTGTCCACACCGAGGGCATCCAGACCAGTGCCCCCGAGCTGGACGGCAAGGACAGCACCTACAGCCTCAGCAGCACCTTGACGCTGTCCGGTTCCGAGTACGCACGCCATGCTGTCTACGCCTGCGAGGTCACCCACCAGGCCCTGCCTGCTGCCCTCGTCAAGAGCTTCAGTTCCACAGAGTGTTAGAGAGGGGCCTGCGGGTCCTTCACGCTCTCCTCAGGCCCTTCCCACAGGAGACCCCCTATTGCGGTACTAGCCCCGCTTCCCACCTCACCCCTGCCCCCTCTTTAGGAGGGGGAAGGAATAATAAAGTAATTCTTTGCACCTGTGATTTCTCTCGCTTTTCTAATTTGATGAGTGGTATACATTGTTTTCCCAATTACTCAGTTTATCGTCTAAGGAACTAAATATTAGCTTCCTAAAAAATACATCATCATTTGTAAAACTCATTGTTCTCGGTTCTATGCCTCCCAACTGTTCTCTACAAAACACTCTTCCACGAACCCAGGAGCCCATTTTCATATATATATACATACATATATTAGACTTCCAAATAAATTTATATCAAGAAACATCTTATATCCAATTTACAGACAAGGGAGGCTAAAGTCAAGACCACACAGCTGGTAAATGGTGGGCCCAGGATCAAATCCCTACCTACATAACTCTGCTCCCTTGAGACCTATACAATTCTGCCTTCCAGTGTTTAAGTTGCTGCACAAAAAACAGGGTCAAACATCCAACTTCCTGGAGTCTCTCTGCCACCTGGCAAACTAGGAGCATGCATATATGGGAAGGAATGGAACAGACCTTCAGGAGGGGGCAAAGGGTAGAGTTAACCTGGTCCACACATTGGGATCTCATGTATGAAAGGCTATGTTATGTATCTGGGAAGTAGCAGGGGAAGGGGGAGCTTATATAAAACTAATTTTGACTCTCTTCCCTCTCTTCCACTTGGGAACCCCACTCTTCCCCTCTCATCTACTCATCCATCCAAAAAACATTTACTGAGCACCTTTCTCAGCCTATACACTAAAGGTGGTACAAAAACAACTGATACTGTGTCCTTTCCCTCAGCAAATTTATAGTTTTTTCTACTTTTTTTTCTCTCTCTTGTCAGTACTGGAGCATTGAAAAGGGCAGTCATGAAAGAACTGACTAGGGAAACAACATTGACATTTTACTTCCTGAGAATATTCATTATTATCAAATCTTTGAAACTTTGGAGGTCTGAGTAGAGTTCAGAAAGACTCAAGAATTGAGGGCACTTTCTGACCAGGCTATGAGAACAAAGCAAGCCCCAATCATAAAGCAAAGCTGGAAGTCAGACATATCATTACCCAAAGAAATAAAGACAGGTTGTGGGTTGAATTGTGTCCGTCAAAAAGATATGCTGAAGTCTCAACTTCCAGTAGCTATTGATGTGACCCCGGTCTTTAGAGATCTGATCAAGTTAAGATAAGGTCAGAGTGAAAGGCTGGTGATGATGCTGTTGTAACTGGATTACTCACACACTGATGGTGGGAATGTGAAATGGTACAGCCACTCTGGAAAATAGTCAGTTTCAGAGAAAATTAAACAAAATACACCTACCATGTGGCCAGCAATTGCATTCCCTGGCATTTATCCCCAGGAAATAAAAAAGTATGTCCACACAAAAATCTGTACATAATTGTGGACAGCAGCTTTATGTGTAATAGCCCAAATAATCATGTGCCTAAACAAACTGACACCTTCATACCACAGAATACTATCCTATATAATAAAGGCCTAATATGCAAATTGTCCCCTTGGGTGGGAGTTCGACCACTTGCTATGATGTGCACTGATCACCAGGGGGTGGCGCAGAACATGGTAGGCGTTGGCCATGCTGTGCTGGCAGCAGGCGGTAGTGGAGGCACTGCTGGCCCCAATGGGCCCTGACAAGAGCAGGACCACGGCGGGATGGTGTAGCAAATGAGCAGGCGGGCACCAGACGGGGGCCCTGATCAATCGCACCAGTGCCACCTGGCTCTCAGGCACTGAGGGAGCTGAGCGGGGGGCCCGTCCCCAATCAATCGTCCTGCAGATGGTGACCAGCAGTGGCAGTGGGGGGGCGGAGGGGGGCGGCGCCAGTGAGCAGGTGGCGCTAGGCCAAGGGTGGTATGAGCAGGCACCCCAATCGCCCCACTGGTCGCCCCACAGATGGCAACCAGCAGCGACAGGGGGAGAGGGGGGCCGGGGTGAATGGGTGGCGCCAGGCTAAGGTGGGGTGCCAGGCAGGGCTGCGGAGCTGCGAGGCTGGGGGCTCGAGCTGGGGCTATGAGGCTGGGGGCGCAAGCTAGGGCCCGATCTCCACAGGCCACGAGGGATGCCACCCATGCACAATTTTGTGCACCAGGCCTCTAGGGCAGCAATAAAAAGAAACAAAGTGTTGATGCACATAACAATTAGATGATTATGAAGTGCACTATACTGAGGGGGGAAAGCCAATCCCAATGGGTCACATACTATATTATTTTTATATAACATTTTTGAAATGACAAATTGATAGAGATGGATAGATAACAGATTACTGGTGGCCAGGGTTTAGGAATGTGACTGAAAGGAGTATCACAAAGGAGACCTTGGTGGTAATGGAATAATGCTGTTTCTCCATTGCAGTGGTGGTTATAGACGTAGACATGTAATAAAATAGCATAATTTAATCACACATTGTACCCATTTCAAGTTGCTGTTTTTGATCTTGTGCTATAATTATGTAAGGAAGAAGAAACAGCAGCAAAAAAGCAAAGGATTAACAGAGACTAAGAAATGAAAGAGGAAGAGGAAAGAGGAAGTGGAGACAAATGTTTATGTGTTGTCTTTTTACACTGTGCCTTGTTCCTTGTCCCCCAATCTAACAACTCTTTAGTTCTTTCTTGAAACTTTAGACCTGGTGAGCTCCTGTGCATGTCAGGCCTTTTCATCTTTCTGTATAAGGTGCCACTTGGTCTGGGTATCTGTCCTTGGGGGCGGAAGGGAGCTTGTTATAAAAGTTAACAAGGTGTGACCTAACATTTTACTGAACTAAATTGGTGATCAGAGTGGCCACTTGAAGACCTAAGGTTTAATCTCAAAGACACAGACCAGGGCCTCTGTGCCCTCTCCCCACTGGATGAGCATAGGTGAACTATTAACATGAGATTGGGGAGGTACAGTGGACAAATTATTGAGCTGTTTTCCTGAGAAAATGTGCTCAGAAGTCACAATAGCAAGTGACTTGACTTTTGTGCCTCAGTTTTTTCATCTGAAAGGGAGGGGTCTTACTTGTAAGATGGTTGTGAGGATTAAATGAAATAATTCATGTGAAGTGTAAGTATCCAGTCGAGCATATACTGAGGGGAGTACAAATGTTAGACATCATGATAATGGAAGGCATAGCTCTATTTTGCTATTGTTAGAGTGCCTTCAAGGGGCTCCTTGAACTTATTCTTCAGTCAAATTCTTTCAGCTTCAAAATGTTTAAATCTCGCATTAACTCACATATGTTCTGGACCTGTGCTGTTCAATACAGCATCCATATAGGTCTTGAGATGAGTCTAGCTCATATTGAGATGTACTATAACTGTAAGAACATATCAGATTTTGAAAATTTAGTACAAGTATGTATAAGATTTCTCACCAATAATTTTTATGTTGATTTCATGTTGAGATGGTAATACTTCAGATATATTGGGTTAAGTCTAATTTCTGTACGAATCTCCTGTGCAAAAGAGAAAACTGGCAGAGAGACCTTTGCTTCAGTTTCTCCCTCTACTAAGAGGCTGAGCTTGTGTGTCTTGACAATTTGCTGTCAATTCCTTTTTAACTCTCTGGAGCCCTAGTTAGGAGCCTATTACAATTATTCAAAAAAGAAATGAAGCTGCTTTGAAAGTAGGACTGAAAAAATGCTGACCGTGTGGATGTGGACGAAGAGAGAGAAGACAAGGGTGAATCCAGAGTTTCAACCTGAGGAATTAGAAGGATAGTGTTTCTTAAATGAGATGAAGAAGCTTACAGAGATTCAGGTTGGGGAGAAAAGACCTAGCACTCAATTTTGATCCATCTGGAATTAATGTTTTATATAGTATGGGGTGTGTATGGGTTCATATTCACTTTTTTCCCATATGAATATCCAGTTGTTCCATCACCATCTATTTAAAAATACTTTCGGCACTGAAAAAAAAAATACTTTCCTTTTTTAAAAATATATTGTTGTTGTTTTTTATTTCAGAGAGGAAGGGAGAGGGCGAGACAGAAACATCAATGTTGAGAGAAAACCATTGATCAGCTGCCTCCTGCATGAGCCCACAAATGGGACATGGCCGGGAATTGAACTGTATCTTTCTGGTTCATAGGTCGATGCTCAACCATGGAGCCACTCCAGTTAGACTAAAAATACTTTCCTTCTCCATGTTGGATTGCTATTTCTACATTCACTATTCTATCCGATGATCGTCCATCCTACACTTATAGATGCAGCCTTGATTGCTGAAGCCTGTGTTGGATATGCTAAGTCTAAGATGCCCAGTAGACAACCAAGAAGAGATGTCAGGCAGACAGCTGGGTAGAAGGGCCTGGAATTTGCAAGAGAGAGGTCAGTGCTAGAAACATAAATTTGCTGTCATCATCATACAGATGATGCTAAAAAATTACCACACTGCAAGAGAGTAGCTAGTGAGTGAGCATGGACAAAGAAATCCCAATGCTGAGAGGCTGATGAGGTGAGGAGGAGCCAGAAAAGAAGATCAAAGAGGATTGATCAGAGAGGGAAAATCAGAAGAGTGGCATTGTCCTATAACCCAAAGAAAAATTATACAAGGAGAAGAAACTGATCAGCTGCCAATTATGCCAATTGGAATGAAAATGGACCAGTACATTTAGTGATGTGAGATAATTGGTAAACTAGATTACAGCAGTTTCTATAGATGGGAGGGGCAAAAGTCTGATCAGAATGAGTGGAAAGAAGATGAGAGGAAAAAATTGGAGAGAGTGTGCATGGAAAGAGTTGGAAAAATAAAGTAGAGAGTGAAGCAGCATCTAAAAGGAGAAGAGAAATGACAGCATTTTTTAATGTTAATGAAAATGGTGCATTGGAGAGGGAAATCTTGTGCTGCAGGGAAGAGAAGAGAATGTTGCCGGCGCAGTGTTCATGAGCAGGTGAGATGAGGCAGATAAGGCATAATTTCAGGTGTTACCTTAGCTAGGAACACAGATGGGTGATCACCCAGGAAGAGAGGAAAAGGGAGTGTCCACAGACACTGATGCAGAGAGGTGCACAGGTGTGCTGGGAAGTATTTCTGGCTTCTTCAATAAG